AGGAAAAAAATTGGTTAAAAAAATCAATTGGAAAAATATTTGTTACCAATAAGAATGAGATATTAAAAATAAAAAAGATATTTACATATAAAAATATTTTTTTTCTTAATTTTTTTTAATAGTTTTTGATATTAATTTTTTTTGTGTAAGAGAAAATTTTAAACATATAATAATAAAATTTTGACATAATTAATATTTATATAATTAATTTGTATTGTCACTAATTGTCTATGTTTGTTAATTCAACAGCAATATATTTAAATTACTCAACATAACTCATAATAAAGAAATAAATAATTTACGTTTAATTAATAATCAATATTCAATAAGGATTTAAATTTTTGATAAAAATAAGGATTTTTATTAAAGCAAATAAATGCCTATTGAAATTAAAGAATGCTGAACGATGTAGATCAAATAATTAAAGATCACTCGTTCAAAGCATTTAAAAAGATATACAAATACATCAAAACCACAGTGGCAACTCTAAATACTCCTTATTAATTTATTTGTTCAGTACTCTAGCAAAGTCACCGAACACCCAGTTAATAAATCAAGTAAGTATATTGAAACGAGATTATTAGAAATAGGTCCACAGAATTACATGTTTTGTCACTTCAATGATAATTTTTTTTATCCATTTTATTACTTAAAAAAGGAATATACATTTTTTTTTATATCAATTTTCTGATAAAGAAAATTAATCGATTTTTGCATAATTCACAAAATCTCACGTAAGAAAATTCATAAAGTTACATATGGTATTATCTGTATAAAATAAGAATTATCTCAAATGTAAAATAAACTATAAAGTTTAAATTGGTAAATCATTAGAAGTTATATAAATATAATAAGATTGATTTCAAAAGTTAAAAATAAATTTTACATTAAAAAAATAGTTCAATATAAAATTAATTATCATTTATAATAATAAATATTAATATAGATATAATAGAAAATTTTCTACACATTCCTTATTAACGTAACTATTTAATATAATAATAAAATATTGAATGCTAAATTAATTAATAAAAGTCTAAATTCATAAGACTTAAAATTTTTTTTGTGAACCTAATCATGGAGTAGGTGAAAAGGTAATTTTTTTTTTTTAACATTATATTTTTGTGTGTAATTAATAAATTAATAAATTTATTCTTTTTACAATGGAAATTATAAGTAAATTATAATATATTTTACACATTAAGAGCTTTATTAATGAAAATATTGATTAACTTGTATTCCATTAAGGTATATTCAAAAAGCAATCTGTGAACAACACAAAAAATAATACAAGTTAAATTTCTAGATTTACAAAGATATATAAGGTATAAGCAATTTATATATATATAAAAGTGATTAAAGTATACACCTATTATATGTATATAATTTTTGTCCTTTTTTATAGTTCACATACAAATTTTTATTAATTTAGAATAATAATTTTAAATTAGATACAGCTTTAATAGGGGAAAATATATATTACAAAAAATGTTAAAAAAATAACAGAGAAAAAGAATATTCAAGAAAGTGTATAAAAGTATCTAAAATAAAATAATTAATAGAAAAATATTTTCATAAAGATTATTATGTTTATATTTGCATAATATATTTATCATTTGTTGCGAAAGCTATATGTTTGGTTAATAAAAGGCTTCATTAACCTTTTTGGCTATAAAAGGACTAGTTATGTGGAGAATACGTAGTTAGTTGTGCTAACTAAAAAAAAAAAAAAAATACGATTGGAATTCTCTTTTTGAGAAATGTTTCTTTTGAAAAAGCTAAAGTTAAAAAAAAAAAATTTATTTTTTTTGGAAGAGAGATTTTTTTTTACAAAAGATAAGAATGTTTTTATAAAGAGTTTAATTTGCATAATATTTAAATTTTGAAATTATGAAAAAAAACTTTATACATATGACAATAAAATTTTCACGTAATTAATATTCATATAATTTATTTGCATTTTTACTAATTGTTTATTTTTGTTAATTTAACAGCAATATATATAAATTGCTGAACATAACTCATAACAAAGAAATAATTAATTTACGTTTAATTAATAGTCAATATTCAATAAGGATTTAAATTTTTAATAAAAATAAGGATTTTTATTAAAGTAAATAAATGCCTACTGAAAGTAAAGAATGCTGAACGAAGTAGAACACATAATAAAAAATTACTTGTTCAAAGCATATAAAATAAATATAAATACAACAAAATCCTAGAGACACCTCTACATGCTCTTTATTAATTGGTTTGTTCAGTACTATAGTAAAGTCACCGAACACCCAGTTAATAAATCAATGTTTAAAGAATTAATTATTTTAAAATAAAGATCTACTTTAGATATAATTCCTAAGTTAAAAAAGCAATTAAATTATTAAAATTAATATAGTTCTCTCAACTTATTCATTATTAACTTATTTACACAATACATTATAAAAAAATATGAGCATGTAATTATTATGTCAAAAATTGAATGATTATATATTGTTTATATATAAAGTAAATTTTTAATAAATACAATTAGTAAATGTTATTTTAGACACTTTTTATCAATTTGAAATTTCAAAATGCTACAAAGTTCTTTGAATTTCCAATTAATAAAGCTATTGTTGATTTATTAATTGGCCGTTCTATGACTTTGCTAGAGTAATGAACAAACAAATTAATAAGGAGAATCTAGAGTTACTTCTACTAATTCAATGAACTTAGGTATAATATTATATTCTATAAACAAGTAAATTGTATATATATAGTATACTCCACTTAGCATTCATTAATTTTTTTTAGATGAATTAATTTGCTTAAAAATTCTATATTTTTATTAAAAAATTATATCTATATTAATTATCAATTTTTAATTTTTAATTAAATATATTTTACTTATAATGTTATAAATAATAATTGGCAATTCAAATACATAATTTTCGAGGTAAAAAACATAATTATTAAAATGCGAATTTAATTAGGTAAATATAATAAGCACATAAATTTTATTATTGCTATAAAATTTTCTTTAAAAATATCAGATGAAATTAACCTCTCAAAGAAAATGCTCTCTCCAATAATTATTTTACAAAATTCTTTATAATTTAATCTTTAAAAGAAAAAACATTTTTTTTTTNTTTCATCACCTTTTATAATTTTAAACTAATGGGATTAATTAAGATCTATTGTTTCAAATATTATGTTTAATCTAAGATTTGAGAATTTTTCTTCCACTGTTGGATTATGATTTATTAATTACCTATTCAATTACTTTGCTAAAGTATTAAACAAACGAATTAATGAAAAGCATATAGAGTTATTTTTATTAATTTTATGCAATTACATTTAATTCTAAATACTATAAATCAGTAAACAGTGTTTTTGTAATCTATTTCATTAAGTATTCATTATTTTTAAGAGTTATTTATTTACTTTAATGAAAGTTCTATACTCTTATTAAAAATTTAAATCCTCATTAATTATTAACTTTTAATTAAATAAAATTTACTTATAATACTATTAATAATTTTAGAAATTCCAAACCAATGCTTTTAAGTTAAAAAAAAATGAGTAATTATTAAAAACAAAATTAACTTATATGAATATGAGAGATATGAAAATTTTATTATTGAAGTATAAAATTTTCTTTTTAAAATAATAAACAAAATTAATTGTAGAAAAATAATGAATTAGTTAAAACTATGTTTTAACAAATAAAATTATTCAACAATCCTCAAAATTAATTATTCCTTTTTCAAAAGAAAAAATTAACATAAAAAAATTAAAATATCTTTTTTTTTTTATCTGGTGCTTGCACCACTAATTATATGTTTTCCACACATCTATTACTTTTTTATTCTCGATAAAATTAATAATTCCTTTTATTAAATAAATATTAAATTTGATTCTTTTATAATTTTAATAATCCACGTTAGAATTTAATGCAAAAATATTTAAATATTAGTAATTAGGATAATTATGTATACTTAAAGCAATTTTACTATATATAAATTATAGTTTTCCTCATAAAAAAAGTAAATAAAAATTTGAATAAAAAATTAAATTAAAATAAAAATATTTATGAAAATTAAGGAAAAAGAAAAAAATAAAACATAAATTAAAATTGAAGTTATAATCATATAATTTATATTTTTCTGTTCCATTTCCATTACTAACATTACATAGATAAAAAAAAAATAATGTATAAATATATAAAATAGCTATAATTACTTCTCTTAAATATGTCATTTAATTTGTTGTTTAAGAAAAAATTTATTTTTCTTACACATTAAATATCATGTTTAATTTTTAACAAAAAAAATTTTGTGTTTCACCTAAAGTGGGCTTTTTTAGGTCAAAAGTATTTTAGTTCATTTAAAATATATTTATACATACATCTTTTTTTTATTTTTTTAATCCTCATTGAGTAAATTTAAAAATGTTGTTGATCAATTTATGATTAAATTTTGTTTTCTTTTTAATTAATCTGAATTTTCCTGTATTTTATAAATAATATATGCACACAACGTGAAAAATATGAAATTTAAGTTTTATTAAAAAAAAATATAAACTAAATCATTTTTTTAATTTGAATATAACTTGTAATAAATTCTGAAATAAAATGATTTGATTTTAAATTTTATTTTTTGTGTTTATCATAATTATAGATATTTTTAAATGACTATAATTATTTTAATTTATTTTCTTTCATTTTAGATATAATCATGTGCATGTTATCATTTCTTGTTTTCTTGTTATATATAGTTAATGTTACCATATGGATGTATTTTGTTAGATACGACACATTTCAAATATCTATATAATTTTTTTTATTATAGTTAAATATTCATTAGATCCTAGAAAAAAAACATTATAAATATAATTAAAAAATACGATATAAAGAATAATTTTAAACTAGTATATAAATGATGTGTTATTTTTTTAAAATAATACCTTATGATTCATTTCAATTTTGGAAAAAGAAAAAAAATTAGATTTAAATCACACTAAATATGAAAAAAATTAAAATTTTGATAATTTACTTTCCTATACTATCTTCTTTTTTTGGTAGCGAAATAAATATTTATAAAAATATGTTTACATACATATTACATCTGTTTTGAATCATAAATATTTTCATGTTTGTTATAACATCTCATAATTCTTATTTTACATACATTAAATATATATATAGGTCTGAGTTACAAAAAAGAAAATAAATTGGTGCCAAATGAATATAGATATAATTCAAACAATTCATTATTTGCTTCAAATTTAGAAAAAAGGAAAGAATTAAAACATAATTCTTTTAAACAATACAACAACCAAAATAAAAAAAATTATAAAACTTTCAGTTTTCAATATGAAAATAAATATAACAAAAAAAATGAAAATAAAAAAGCATCAAATTTATTTATAAATGTATCACGAACAAATTTAAGTTTTGGTACTAGTTTAATATCACCACATTTTGCACATATAAAAGGAATTAATCCACATATATCTAAAATATATAACATTAAAGGAGAAAAAAAAAATATAGACTTAAATAGTCCAACATACTCTTTTACTCAGTCAAACAGTTTCATGTCAATTCATAATGATGTTATAAGTAATTATAACAACTTAATTAAAATGATTAATGAAAATTACAATAAAGCAAAAGATGCCTTTGTTTATTCAAACTCTTGTTATGACATGTCACGTTACATCATGATATTAAACAATGAGAATTATGATAAGTTTATGAAGAATATATATCCTAAGATTACTAGCTTAAATCAAGATGCAGATAAATATATAAAATCTTATGAAGAAGTAAAAAAAGATATGAGAAAAAGAATAAACCATTTACAATTACTTGAAGGGGAAAATGGAAAAAGGAACTTATATGAGAATGAACTTCTGCAGTTTAAGAAAAAAATAGAAGAAAAAAAAAGAAATGAAAATGTATACGGTAGTGAATGTGAAAAAAAAAGAAAGGATATTTTTTATGATTTAAAAAAATATATAGTTCCTGAAAACTGTCCTAAAGATATATACAATAAAGTAAAAAATTATTATGAAAAGTCTCTTAAAAATTATTTAAGTGTAGATACGGTAAATAATGCTACACATAGTGAATCATTAAAGGAGATGGAAGATTACTTTAATAATCAGAATCTATTATTAAAATTAATGGAAGGAAATTTTTATGAAAAAAAGGTAAAATATGATTTAAATCTATTAATGGAAGAAATTAACGATATTAAAGATATTTATAAAAATCATACGCAAATTATACGTGACAATATTCGTGATTTAAAAAATTACGAGAAAAATGCAGAAAAGAGACAATTTATTGAGAATTTAACTGCGGAAAATCTAATGGCGCCTTCATATGCTTTTAAGGGGATTATTATTTACAGTTTATGGAATACTAAAGTAACAGCAGATTTTATTAAAAAAAAAAAAGAGTTTGACAATTTATTTAGAACAGAATATCAAAAAATAGGAAATAAAATAAGTAAATTAGTTTATCCTGAAAACTTAATATCAGAAAGCAAACAAATTATTTCAAATTCACAGGGAATATTAACTGATGTAAAGCGTATCATTGATAAAGATTTTGAAAAATTAGAAAATCTATTATATAATTGTGATAGTTTTGAATTTTCTGCTATTAAAAAAGAACTTACTCAGTTATACGCCGAATTGACTGTACATAATACTAGTATAAAAAATAAATTTGATTCAATGAATAAAATATATATTTCTATTACAAATGAAAAACCTAAAATAGAAAATAAGAAAAAAAATATTCTAGAAAAAGGAAATATATTAAATATGAATACACGTGATGTTTTAATAAAAATAAAAGAAATTCAAGATATTATAGCATCTGCCTCTAATAATCTTAATTTATTAAAAAGAAATTATGAAGAATTGAAAAATTTAAAAAAAAAAATCGAAAATTTAAAAATACAAGTTCAAACAAAAAAAAATAAATTAAAAGAACTAAAAAGACAAGAAGGGTCACGTAAAGAAGAATCTATAAAAAAAATAAGAGAGAAACTGAAAGAAATAAAAAAAAAAATAGAGGATTTTAAACCAATAATAAATTTAAAAGACAGTGAAAACGAAGATCTCAAGTTTATTGAAAAATTAATTTATGATAAACCTTTTAATAAAAATGAATTCATAGAGAAAAAGAAAAAAGCTCATGAGCAAATTAATTTGGCATTAAATTCATTATTTGGAAACGGATTGATTGATGAATTAAAAAAAATATCTCAATTTGTAGCAGAAAAAGAAGTATTAAATTATAAGGAATTAAGATTAAGCAGAATTATTGAAATATTAGATGAGATAATGAAAATGTCTTCTAAAGTTAATAAAATTATTAGTGATGCAATGTCCACACTAGAAAATAAAGTAAACCCTGCAAAAAAGAATATTATAGAACTTAAAAACTACATTATAACTAAATCAATTGAAGATTTACATATTAAAATGGAAAATTCAATAGATAATTTTAGCAGAATGTCAAATGAATTATCTGAAAATATAACTGATTATGAAACAAAGAAAAAAACCCTTGAAAATTATGAAAATGATATAAAAATAAGAAAAAATGAATTATTGAGCAATATTATTAATGATAATATTTTGTTTGAGAAAAAGGATATTTCTTTTTTTTTTCAATTATAATTTCATAACATAATATGATATTTTACTATATGAATTATTTTATTTTTTTTTTCTTAATTTTAATTTTTTAAATTAATCTTTTGTTTTATTAATTATATTTTTTTCTTGTTATTTGAAAACTAATGACATTATTATTACATGAAAATAAAAATTTAATAATCAGCACAAAAAGCAAACAAGAAATTCCCTTTATCCTTAAATAATATCCTATACTATATAAAATACCAATTTCAAATCTAAACAAATTTACAATATAGTTATCATATAAGTACAAGTATTGTCATTTCTATGTAGAAATTATAACAATTTCCCATTGTAATTCAAGTGTATAATGATGCTCAAAAATAACAAAAATATCTATATTCAATTTTTTGGTCAAATTAAATTATTTTTCTTCCTTAATTGGATTAACGAATATTTTTTTAACATTTCATAAATTTAAAGTATAAAATACATACATACACATTACTTTTTGGTTTTCTTGAAATTTATGCATTTATCTATAATTCACATAAAAACTTTTTTTCTTTATTAAATTAATTTTTGAATATTACTGCAAAATATTTTGAGAAAGGCTTTTATGATGATATTATAATCATGAGAAAAAAATCAATCTTAAAGAAAGCAAGATATTTATCACAAGCAGAAGAAACTTCCTGTATATCAGATAGACAAAAAAGTACAACAAAAGAAAATGGAGATAACTCCTCTAGTGAAACAAGTAAACTCAATAGAGAAATTAAAGCATTCGTGGAAGATACTAATAATGAACTTTATTTTTATCTTGATGATAATGAAATTAAGAATACTACAGAAAAATGTCAAAAGTCATCGACATATATAAATTGGAGAGGAATGGACTTTGTTAATTTAGTATTAAATGAAGAAAAAGATCGTAATATCTAATATATATATATATATATATATATATATATAATATATATTAATACATATAAAATTTGACGAAATTAAATTTCTCTAATAATTATTATAATTTATAAAATATTGAACTTATTTTGATAATTATGTAATAATTTAGTTAACTATTTAATTTTTATCAGTAAAATGAATTCAAAATAAAA